GGCACTGTTCATTGCATCATATTTCCATCAGAGACACGATTTAGCAGACTGAAGCTCTTAAAGCTGACAGCGAGAAATGATTGGGGGGGGGGGGGGGCAGGGGTGTTGGCATCCCCCCCCCAAGCGACTATCCCAGTCCAGTCCCAGGCCTGATCAGCCACCGAACAGCAATCAAGGAGCAATCACAGGAAGGGTCAATAAAAGAGTCGCATCCTAACCCCTCGACGACTTCCCTTCAATCTATCTATACAACCATCTCCTCAATCCTGAACATCGTCGGGTGATGTGGTTGCTATGGTGACTGATGACAGAGCCTCGAAAAACCCAGCAACACGATCAAGTGATGGGCAACGATTGAGCCATTAGGCGAAATGTGCAAGGATCGTCGATGCATGTTTTGATGACATTATTCAACTTCATGCATTCATGTCCCGTAAGGTTTATTTCTATTCAAGTGACCACGCCCATGAATTTCAGCCACATTAAGATGCACAACGATCTGTTTACAGGTAGACAATCATCTTTAGTCAGCCTGCTTTCAATATGAACTAATTTGGACACATTTGTTTTTGAGCGTTGACTATTATGGAAACACTCTTTTATTGGTTATTACCAAGTGAAGTTTTAGAAATGAACAATTTGAACCAATTTTGTTGATGAATATCTGACACCCGCTGGACACCATGTCACTTGTACCCTCATTTTAAATATGACCTCTGCCTGACTAAGAGAGGTCCAAGACGTTAAAACTTGTTTTCTTAAACTGTACGCATTATTAATAATTGTCTTTATCTTTTACTCTGTTTAATGATTTGTGGAGATCAAAACTCGGCTTAGTACTTGGGTACCCGGTTCCGATGCACGCCCCAACGTCAGACTCATTATTTTGCATCTAATGAAGCGGTAGTTATAAATGCAACTTTTGGCCTTTTACACATAGTTACATGTACACATCTACCGGTATGTGTAGACATTTCAAACTAAAGCCAAATTTTCCACGGTCAAATCTTGTATTTCAACTACCAATGTACAGCACTGCCTACATATGTTTTCACACTCTGAGCAAAAACAATTTTAGTAGCTCCTATTGAGGCACTAACTAATGCAATTAATAATCCTGGGAGTGCCAAGGGGTGTGCATGTACATGTACAGTTCAAATGAAACAGAAATGACTAAGTTAGGTTGAAAAGTTGGTCTACATATAAATCTTGGAACTCACACAGTAAGCTGGGATTTTGTTGGAAACCTACAAGCAGCATGTAGTTGATGCTGAGCAAATACACAAGAGCTTACAGTTGATGCTATTCTATGTGATACTTAGCCACCTTATTACAGATAAAGCTTAAAGCCAGAGTGCCCTAGATTTCAGGTCAACATTTATGCTGCTCACACCTGAAATGTAGTTTCTACGAAAATATCAAGCCCATTAATTTTAATGCAATTTGGACTACTCAAGCGTACTAGATTTATGTACATTCACAGCCGAGGAAAACAAATGACTATATTGTTGGCCCCGGGCATAACATTTTAATGGCCTTCTTGTGAACGTTAAGTCTTCTTAGATTTCTTTTTCTTTAAAAGCAGCAAGTAAAACATTTTTGGAACATTTCTTTGAATTTTGAAGTGTTCAAGTTTTGTTTATGACTGATTGCATACACATGTACATGTACATTGTACATGTAGGTATGTTTGCACATGTCAGAAGATCGGTTTGCTAAACATCTCTGTGATTAAATATTACATGGCGGGTTTAGAAATCACACATATTTTTTGGGATTACGTATACGTTGAAATCTGAATGTTGATTTTGTCAAAAAAAAAAAAAAGGAAGAACAGAATGCTTCTTGTGTGTTCGACATAACTGCACTTGTCCATAACAGCTCTTCACTTACAGGCCTTCAAACGAAAACTAATCGCGCGTGCATGACAGAACCTTAACTACGGTATGTGTACACAGAAAAGAAAATAAAGATTCTAATTCAAATTTGAACGTGGAAGGACTGCCAACAAGCTTAGCTTTGAAGGCTTCACGTGCGTGCTTGCCCCGTCCTAATGCCATTAGTCCAATCAGGCCTAAATGTCATTGGGGGGTGATGTTTCGGCTGATAGCCGTAGACCAAGGGACGCAATAACAACCGCTGACGTCAACGTCAGGGTAAGGGTGATAGTTTTGGGGGCCGTGGTTGGACGGGTTTTCGCCACTGTCCCCGACCCTTATAAGTAATGAGGCTTCTCTTAATGGTGGGGCCTGGCGCCCTAAACAGGCAAGTGATAGCCATTTGGGAACAAGATTTGGTAACAGTTTTCTTTCTTTATTTAAGGCTGGTTACTAGACCGTTATCATAATATCCTTTGATAAGTGTTTGGTGCACGTACCGGGGTACATGTTGTCAGCCTCAGCAATAAAGTGGGGATTAAGTTTTTCTTGTTATCAAAACTGCAAGGTCCTTAAATTCAAGATATTGCTATTTCTGCCAAGGTTTTATTTATTCTTTTCAAATGCCAAGTCTGCAAAATTAGAAAAAAAATCCCATGAGGATAACAGTTTAATTTCCCACAAGGATGAAACATTAAAAAGCATACAATCTACGTGTACGCAGAATTATTTCTGTGAGGGGACAAACAACAGTGGGGGATTTTTTAGCTGTAGGATTTCAACTGTACTACAATTTGCAAGCAAGTAAAAAAAAATGGTCTTTTTTTTAATGAGTTATTCTCTAACCACCAAACAAATAATATAATACTCGTGGCCATTCCAGGGCAGAAGTATCATAAACAATTATGTATCTTCTTTTTGACAGCGCAATATATAATAGCCTTAAATATCTTTATACTGGTTGATGACAAATTTACATTTTGAGTGCAGGTCACCATCAGTATCTACATGTACATGTAGTTGGTGCACACAATTTTAAGTCTGTACACAATGTACCATTTCTAACACATATCCAGTCCATGTTTCCACTTCAGATTTTCACACTTTCCCCCAAATTTTTCTTAGTCCCATTTTTTAAAAAGCAAATCGGCGTTAAAATTTTAAAACTTATGTTATGATACGTTTTTATTAATTACATGTAGAGTCATCAAACCCAATCTGTTGTTACATGTTGGATGTTAAGAAAAAAATATGTTCTTTTTGTGTGAGACATGTATACAGGTGGTTGGAACATAAATTCTCAAATTTTATGGGTTTTTTTTTCATCATCATTCGAGCGAAAAAGTAGTACCCTGAGTATTTCGTCTGTCTGGTTTTTCTCTGACACCTTAGCACACTGACATGACGCTTCTTGGGGGGGGGGGGGGGTTGACACAATGTCACAGTCAGCTAGCGACGGTGTAAGGCTCAATTATGGGGTGCTGGACGGGGCGCCTTTTGTGTTTGAATTATAAGCTCCCTTGTGCTCAATAAAATAAACTCAAACCCCCGAAGTGAATTCGCTGCTTTCGCTTTCCATTCATCTAGAGACTTGGTTTGAAAAGGGGGTGAAGTGCAAAAGGTTCTTTTCGAAGGTTGGAAATTTGAAAGAAAGGAAAACACTTTGTATGCCCTCAGTGTCACCTTTCCAAACTGGTTGCTGTTGAAGTTTGGATAGGAGAAAGACCGCGGTGCGTATTGGGTTTCATTAAACAGTCAACTGTGAGTAACGATCTTGAGACGTATTAATGCATTGGGGTTTCAATTTGTTCTCCCCGTTGGCCACCGTGCTATGCATACAATGGCAACGGCAATTTTGGGTTAATTTAATTTTCAAGTTCATACTTTTTCTAATAAACAACTGTTGGTGACTTTCCAAGGTTCATGCTTTAAATGTGTTTTTCTAATTTTTGTATTTTTATTTTATTTTAGTACTTTGTAATTTTTATGCATGCATCTTTGAACGAGAATATTTCTTTTAAAATTTAATTGTGTAAATTTGCTATGGATAATTTTAATCTGTGTAAATTTGCCAAAGATTATGAATAAACAAAATAAAAAAAAGAAGTGAATTTTTTTTTTAATAACCATGAGAAAGGTTGCTAAAACTCAGGAAAAATGAAAGTAATTCAGATTTTTTTTTAAATGGTTAGCATTTTAAATAAAAGTGTAGAAACGAACTCCACTACAACGTTCATACAGACTGTTAGAAGAGATTAAATTCACCCATAACCTATTAGCTAGGAGTTTAGTTGAGCGAGATTTTTTTCTTTAGATTCTTTGAAACTGGATGCAGTGAACAACATGTTGTTTGCTTCAATGATTGCTGCCGCAGTGGGCAATCTCCTTTGAGATTTCCGCCGGAATACAAGGCAAAAATGGAAAAAAATCTCAAGAAATGAAAGTGTTCACTAATGACTTTTGTTTAGACCAAGCAAGATTTGAAGCAACTAATGCTTAAGAATTTAGGCAGATATACGTTTGTGCATGTCGGGCACTGTCTATATCTTAACCCTTTCAGTCCCATATACATGTAACTTACAATGTATAGACCCCACTAGTTTATGGGATAGTTGGTGGGCAGGTGGGGTGCAGGATCTAAACATACGACGCATGACCTGGGATGCCCCAAGTAAATTGACTGAAAGGGTTTTAACAAAATGGGATAAAAAGAACTGAAAAGTGCCCATGACAGTGTAATGTGCAGATTTGGGCTGTGGATCTGAGTGGTGCAATGTACCGATTTTGAGCAAAAGTGCAGACAGCATGTTACAATGTTTCCCCCATCCCAGTTTGTGCATGTTTGTCTCTACACAAATGGCCAACATGTAGCACATTTGGAAAAAAAATACAAACTGTCATGATATTGTCCAGGTTCCCAAAACAAACTTACAAGATTTGAACTTAATCATGTTCAAGTGACTCGTATCAACCAAAGGTGCATGTCATGCACTCTGTCACGAACAGATAGATCCGTCACGATTTAGGAAAAGCTTTTGCTCGGCTTTTTATGACTATTTATCTCCTATCCTTTAACTGTGTTAGCTGACTGGTGCTAAAAGGGGCCAAACCTGCAGCACTTACTTCTGCATAACGACGTCTTGGTAGATGATGAGCTCATCCATGTCAAAGGTCGCCACATTCAGAAGGTAGATGTTGCCTCCTTCTGTGCCCATGTACAGGGTCTTGCAGTCGGCCGACAGGCAACAGACGGAGATCTTCTTGAGTCTGTGAGAGGGGAGGTAGGGATGAAGGAAAGATGGAAATAGGATGGAGGAACATTTGTGGAAAAATGAGATGACATTTTTTTAAAAGGAAAATAAAATGAAGGAAAGAGATGATGGGTAACAAAAGAGGCACAGAAAAAAATATTCTTAATATTAACAAACATTTTAATTTTAAACAAAAATTTAATGATAGAAATTATCATCAGCAAAAAACAAAGTGTCCTACTCATTTTGTGTATTTTATTTTGCCAAAATTCTTGGGATGCTGAAATTCTCTTGTCTGATCACTGTAAATTTGTTGAGACTTGAATTTGGTACCGGCAAGTGAGCATCGTACTTTAAAGCTACTGTTTTACAATGTAGTTCAAACTTTGGGATTTCTTGAGAATAAGAAGAGTACCAGTGTCATTTTCTCCCCCATGATGAACGTGTATAAGAAAGCATGACTAAAACCAGCCAAAAGATTTCAGGCCATACAAGTTTTTAAGGAAGTGAAGTTTGATATATCCATCCAACTAAGCAGGAAATCCTAAACCAGAGATAAGTTTCTTAAAAGTGCTATTATATGACTGGCAGGCAGTAACTTTACACAGTTGTAAAAAATAAACTGTTGAAGTGGCCTAACTTAATGTTCCCTGCAAAATGTGGTAACTTAATGACATACAAGGAATTAAAAAAAAGAAATTATAAACTGATTTGATTTCAACTGTGCTTATATTTTCTCAAAATTATCTTGCTGGTCTTTCTAGATCAATTTCTGTACTCTACCGGTATAATTTCTCATATGCCCCAGAGGTCAGTTATAGCGCCCTCTATCGCGTGTGCATAAGAGACTTTTTGAGTCTGCCTGACTGACCTTCCTTCCAGGGAGAAGGACTTGACCTCTTCAAGGACCGAGTTGCCATCCTTGATGTTGACCTCCCACAGATGCAGGCTGTTGTCCTGCAGCAAGCTGATGATGCGCCCCTGAAAAAAAAAAAAAAATACAAAAATTAAATAGAGCTTGACCAACTCCTCAGGCATTTCTTCAATGTACCACCTCACTCCTCCAAAACCCACTGCATTTCAAGAACCAAAAGGCACTTTCTTTGTACTTGAACTTTTCAAGAGCACCAAAGTATGTGCAGGGATGTAAGTGCAAGCGTTTGAGGTACAACGGAAAAGAAAAATCATGTATGGTACAAAGAAATACAATTTGCAAAAGAAACCTGAAATCGGGCAATTTCAGGAGGACTTCCTGTAAACTTGTGCAAATAGTGGCTCCTAATGCTCATCAGTTCTGCAAAATCCTCCAAAACCTCTTTGATAAATGTACCGTCTGAATGTTCTGGAAAGCTATTCTTGCTGTAGGGCCTAAACCTTCCTGATTTACAAGGGTGGTTTAAAAGTGTTGATCCTTTCTGAACATTAGCCCCAACAGTCCTGAATCCTCCAAATTCAATACAATTTTGCACACCCCCTAGGGAGTTAGGGTTAGGGTCATTAATATGAGAAACATGCTGGGTAGATGTGATCGTCTGTCGGCAACCAACAGGCATGATATCACATACATGTACATATTTCAAATCAGGACTGAAAACTGCCCAGATTTTTCCGTTAAACCACGGCTGTTCTTGAAGCACACAACTGCCCCTTTCACCGCCAGACAATGGTTTTTCTCTCTCTCTCATTGCTATCCTGGGTCCTGATCCTCAGCCTTGGCCTTAAATTGGCACTAAGTGCCACTCAGTGCAATATGTAACGCCCAAGCACCCCGCACTTAAGTTTCACAGCCACCAACACCCTCATAAAAAAATGTTACCCCTTTGGGAGTCCAAGGCTTAGCTCAACTTCGAACTTGGCTGGTGTGTGTGGTGTGTGTGTAAAGATTTGGTGCCTAGGGCAAGTGCATCTAGAGTGCAGATTTACATGTACTGTACAAGGTTTTATAGAGAGATTGGATGTATGCAATTGTTGTGTCTATATGAACGTTTGATTGATCATTGTTTTTCAGCCTTGTCCCAGACTGACTGTGAGAGATAAGCTGGTACCTTCTGGACAAGGGCATGCATGTTTCTGATGGTACGTACATGTACATGTGTATGACCAAGAAAATACCATTGAACTTCATAACCCAATCCAACTCCACTATCACTCATGACTGCCCCTTCAATGGCAAAAGCCACTGGCGGTAAAATGGCCAGCACAATGCTTTCACCATCAGGACCTGGTCTACATTGTAATGTACATGTATAAAGCCACATGAGACTATTGGCACTGTGCGTTAACAAAAGAGGGCGCTTTTTTTAAAACCACTTTTGAGAGCCTCTTTGACGGAACACACCGCGTGTGCACACTGGTTCGCATAGCACGAAATACGCATGTCTAACTTTGTTGTAATTGTGCACAAATTTAAAGCCATAGCATCTTAGCGGGAGTGTCAGGCATTGTCACATGTCAGCGATGCATTCGAATGTCTAACTATTATAAGATGGAATTTTGCGTTGGGGTGATATAAATAAAATTATTGGTTTTGCCCTTCCATCTTATAATAATTTATGCGGTACCCCCTGCTATGCATACATCTGATTCGAACCAGCCAACCAATCCCGTTAGCTCGGTGGTCGAGTGGTAAGACATATGCACTAGAAAGCAGGAGGTCGTGGGTTCGAGTCCCACCCGAGTGATTTTTTCCAACTTTCACTCGGGAGGTAACACACTGAGTATACAGTGTTTAAACGTCGGTGAAGGGCAAAACCAATAATTTGGTCTCTAACTATGGGCTCCGCCAACTCTCCCTTTCTTGCCGGTTAGGCGGTACTCGTGCACGGAGCCCATTGAACATTGAATACATCAGTAAAGTTGGTCATAAAGATCTTTGCATTTATGATTAGTACCGGTACATGTATGTGTACATGTAGCTATTCTTTAAGTGAATAATGAAACAACTACATGTACATGTACGTGTACATACATGTACATGTACATACATGTACATGTACATAATGTATCTAAATACATGTACATGTATTTCTGCTCTTTGTTTCTTGTGGCTGTTTTCTGCAGCTTAGCGAATGATAACCAAACATAAAGAGTAAATTTATAAGGATCAAACCTCAGGAATAAACCCTTTTAAAGAAAAATAGTATCGGGATGGAGTACACAGCTGCAGTGTTGATTGGATACCACACTCCCCATGAATGCTTCAGGCACATGCATCTAAATCTCACCATGTTATTGACCTTGCCCTTAGTTAGGACCATCAGCATCAACCTTGCCCTTCCATGATCAATAATTGAACGATAAAGACTGGGTCATGATGCGACTGTTATCAAATTAGCTGCTAATCACGTACCATTCTTCTCAAAATGTGTATTTCTGGGAGATGGACAAGGAGGGCAAAATTCTGTTAAAAGCTAGAGACTGATATTGAGTCATCAGAGGTTGTTAAAAATAGACAAACAATTATCAGAAATAAACTTCAACAAACTGGTCAACTGATTTTTAGCTGGCTTCTGCTTTGTTGCATCAATTTGCATAACATTAACAACATTTTCAGCACAGCAGCTCCATCAAGTTGGTGCCAGATTGCGGTAAGCTCCTTTAATGTCAAATCGATCCGAGTGTTGGTTTAAACTTACTTGCTCCGGGAGGAAGAAGAGCTGCCAGACTGCACTCTCGCCATCATGGACACCGATGAACTCCACGCCTGGGGCTCCGTATCTGTGTCAAGGCTCCGGTTAAGGAATAAAACCACTTTGGCTGTCCTAGAAGGAAGCTAACAGTTACAATATCAAGATGCATCGCTGATCAGAGAATCAGAGAACCACAGAGATTGCAAGTGTATTTTAGTTGTGCTTGAATCTGAAATAAGTTGTCATCAAATAGACATGGTGTCAACTGTTAATGAGCACAAAAATAAAATATATATACAGGAAGTGTCAGGGGTGTGAGTGACCACTGATAAAAATAGCTGAAAACAGCTGAAAAAAGGTGTAAACATGCTGAACTTTGGAAATCTCCTATACTTTTGTACACAGCAAGTGAGGGAAAAGAGCTGAAATCCAAAACAAAAAAAAGCTGAAATCAGTTTTAAAGCTGAGATTTCACACCCCTGAAGTGTGTATTAACCCTAACCTTAACAACTCCATCACAATCCATCCCCCAAATTTGGGGGATTTTGGCAGAAAGCCATGTGAACCGTCCATCAAACTCCACCAGCACCAGTGGTGGATTTCAATGGATTTGGTCCTGAAGCATTATGGGAAGCAGAGTGAGTGATGGATTTTGATGGACATGGTCTTCGGCTTAGTAAAGGAGGGAGTTGGGGTTAAGCCTTTACCCTAAGGCATATTTGCGAGGAACCATCTCGAATCCTTCAAATGTTTTTGAAAACTAAGGACCGGGACATGGAGCGATTGAGGTCTACAAGCCCATAATCAAATGAAATTGTTTTATATGGACAGCTGAAACAAAATCCTTTGGTTTTAATTAACAAGACTGTAGATCTAGAAGCATATTTCATACTCGTGTCAGGGCTCAAACTCTAATAAAGCAACAGTTTCATTTAAAAACAAACCTTTTCTTTTTAATATTCAACCTTGTATACGAGTGCACAAAGGTGGCATTTGAATTCACAACTGAACGCTTGATAATTTGTTAATTCTTTTCCTCAAAGACTACACTGTCCAACGACACGCCCTATCCTAATTCGGCAGAATACAGTATAATCCAATATAAATGATATCGCAAGGCTACGTGTGGTCAGCACAAAGCCAGACAGTTGGATAAAAACACATCAGTATTCACAGCCAATGTCTAAAGGATCAATACCGTAGCAAAACAAACGACAAGATGTGCAGAAAGCTCCTACGAATAATTCAGTGGCGCGTAGAGGGAGGTTCAGCATATTAGTTGCGTGCGGGCAAACAATACATAATTTTAATCTACGAAGATTTGAGACAAGTCTAGACTTGCTCTGGTGTAGCTGTTTTCTAAAGATGCTACGATCCGGACAGTGGAAACGAATGAATTTATCCTGGGGCATGTCTATTTAGAAGTACCTGACATATGTTTGTAAATAATATTTCCAAACCAAAAGGATGAACAATATAAATATTAAGTAAACTATGATAATATCAATGTTTCAGTTTTGTACTTTAGAAGAAAAAAAGTTCTTATGACATTTTTGATAAGAACTCATGCACCGGTAGATGCTTGTTTGTTGTTTGTTTCTTTGTTTTCCAGAATGAAAAAAAAAGGTACTTCCCTTGTCTACTATTTTTTTTTTTTTTTTTTTAATTTTTAACGAAGGTGAGTCAGGGTGGTGCTACGGTAGGTCCTTAGGATATTTGCATTCAAAAAGTAACATACAGAATTATTATCAAAAGGCTTACTTGGATTAAAGATCGTACTGGTACTGAACATCCCGTGGAATTATTCTGTCTGGCTTGCTGTCATTTAAAAGAAATCAAGAAATGTAGGTGATTTTCATGGATCAGTCAATTGACTGATCACTGAATTGACTGATCACTGAAAATAAAGAGTTCTTTAATTTACGAAATTGTGTTTCGTGATCAAAAGGTCGTGCATGGCTTTTCACTGTTTTCTCAAAAGTATTAAGACGGCCCGAAGTTGCGATCTTAACAAGATCATCTTCAGAGGCAAGTGACAGTGGTACAAGAAACTAACGTGAGGTGGACCCACAAGCATGTAGGGTTGGGAGAAACACAAAAGAGGGATGAATTAGGGAACAGACCAATGTGGGTGAAGATCACAGGGAATGGAGTAAAAGGACGAACAAAGGACATACATGTAGAAGTGTAATACCCACTGAGCTAAAACTTCAACAGGTTAGGTTTTGAACATTCTTTTTTGGATTTTCAGCGGTGTTATTATTAGAAACAAACAAGATGCATGAAGAGCAACTGATCCTATATGTCTTTAATTATAACTGCAGGAATGAAGCCTGTCACATCGTCCACTGACCGCTAATTGGCCGGCCTGAATGGACATGGACAGCCATGTGGAGAGCTCATTAGCACAGCCCACCAAGCCCACAGGGCTCTTGGCTAACCTAGTGTCTCCATTCTAGTTTCTGTCTCCATCCACCGCATGCAATAAAACTTCATTACCAAGTCTAATTGACTCCACTGGCAGCAGGGTACAAATCAACTCAATTTGCAGAGCCGAGGTTTGACCTCTCAAAAGGATGTGAGACCACAATGTGATCTACATAATAATCTCTGAGTACACTGAACAGTTAATATGTATTCCACTGATAAAAAACTCTTTGAGAAAAGTCCTGCCAGGATTTGAAACATGAGGCCCTTAAAAAAAAATAGTATTTTTGTTTTTATTTCGAATTTTTTTTCTTAGGTGAACACATTACCAATAATATTTCAAACAAGACAATAAACTGCAGCCTGTACTTTTTTTTACCAGAATATTATAATGTTATTATTTTAACAAAGAATGAAATTGTTGGCTTTATTGAGTTCATTTTATTTCAGCCATTCTGTCGGTTATTTTCTCCCCTTATTTTCTTCTTTCTACAGAATCAAACAATTAAGATTTTTTTAGTTCACTTGTCAGATAAAAATTTTCAAGAAATACCTTCTTCTGATAAATTTTGCTGGGTTCAGTATTTTGGGAGCCGTTTTTTCCCTCACTTTTCTCAACTCGATCAACACAACACTTGAAAAAAAAAATATGCACAGGTTTGCTAGACAGGCTGTTTACGCCATGAATGGTAAAAAAACACCTCACGCAAAAAACAAAATCCTGCCGTTTCTGGCACAATCACAGACAGAGAGATGCCAAGAATATCACACGACTGAAGGGTAGACATCAACAGACGAGTACGGGGCCTGAGGGCTCCAGACTACATGTCAGTACCTGCATATTAAATGCCCCAGGAAGGAGGCCGGGTTAAGACCCTGGACTCGAGGTCTCAGGTGGGGGTGGGGGGGGGGAGGGATGAACAAATATTGCATTCGTGAGACTTGTTTTTGTCCCTTTGACATTTTGAGCATTGTGCTTGTGTCAACCTTATGGGAGCAGACGTGTCTCTTAGGATGTTATCGGTTGGGACTATCGCAGTAAATCTCATCACACTGGGGAAACTATCAATGTGCAGAGATTGAATTCGTTTTGTGATATTGATGTGGGTTTGAGGTAATAGTGTAGATTATGATGGAGAAGGTTGGTGCAAGACAAGACTACTGGTGTACAGGGAGGGCTATTGTTGCCATGTTGGGATGTGGGATGTGGGATGTACTAAATTTTGGAATGCTCTCATTGGTTGATTGAATATGCATACATTTGAATATTGAATATCTAGTTACTTGGCACAAATACTACTGCTGAGAAGTGACCAGCCACATTGATCTCATAGTTATTCATTACATGTATTGTAAGAAGTTGTTCAATGTAGAAGGCACGCCCAGCCTATGGCATTATGAAATTGTGTTTGAGAGACTGCAACCCAATTTATAGTGGGTTGTAGAGGCACAGCGAGGTTGTAAGGTTAGAATTAAATGGGAACGAAAAAAGAGGCAAATTGGAACAAACTTTGAGGTACCGGTAGAGCTACATTGTAATTTGTGGATTTTTTGTTGATTTCAGATGCTTTTTGGTTATTTACGGTACTCATATGGACCCTTTTAACTGTCACCGTCTTAAAATAACAAGCAATACCTCCAAAATGGCTGCCAAATGCAAAGGATCTGTTGTTGGACCGAGCTATCCAAAATTTCAGAATCCTACACAATGTTGCTTTGGTTCAACAACCATCAACGCATAGTGTTACTGCGCATTCAAGCACATACTAATCACCCTTACTGGTGACAATGATTAATTTCTACATGCTGATCGCAGCGTGAAGTCTCTGACAATCCGAAAGCCTTGACAGTCATAATGGATCTCCATACATTAACTTCAAGTGCTGCCTGAGCGAGATCACATCATCCGGTGGATTTCATGTTTTATTCCCCCGAGGGATCTGCATCGATTGTCAGGTCTGATGAATGAGGTGTGGTCTTAATGGGAAATCTCAGCAATTTGAGGTCTTCCTATTTTTTTTCCTCTTTTGCTGGGAAAATGTGACAATGCTTGCTAAGATTGATGTAAAATCGAATTGTTTGTTCAATCTATTTCCATGGAATTTACTAAAATACCGTCTTGAATACCGGTACTTGCCTCTTGTGTATAAAAGTGAAAAAGTACTGACAAATTGACTACAAAAGATGACAGAAATTTTAAGAAATCTCCCGTGCAAAATTGGGGAGATAATTAATGCGCGAAATGGGGCCCGAGATACTGGTAAATAATGATAGAAGAAATATGTTTTTCAAAATATCTCATAAATCTGTACACAAATGTGCTGTTCTTAATCCAGAGGAGTGCACAGATTGTCCATGAATCAAACACACAATCAGTGCTACATGTAGTTTTTAACATCATGCTGTCCTCCTGACTAGACAGGAACAGCAAGAGCCAGTCACTCAAGCCACAGAGGGCCCAAATTGACATTGACAGAGAAGGAATTTGAGCCCAAGTGAAGCAGACTAGCCTAGAGGATGGACGTCCCACTGGGCCTATTACACGCCTTGTCAACGCCCTTCAGCTGAAAGAAAATAGTTCAGTGGATACTGTAACTGTTACAACTCTTACACTCTGTCACTTTTCAGGCAAAATGTATGCAATTAGTGCCACCGATTATC